TACAGATATATTAGATCTGGCGCTAATGCTAAAGCTGAGTCATTTCGTCATTCTCCTCTCTGTCAAGGCGATCCAGTTCAAATTAAACTGAATGTCAGATAATGTCTAAAATTAACATTCCAGCTGAATGGTGCTCACACCAAAGCAACCAGTCTATTTTTTTTAAAACCCAGAATGCATTGCAGAGTAAATAAACAGACAACATCCACATGTCGACAATTTTAAAATTACATAAAAACTAAAACGTTTTTTTTCTGATCTCATTTTTATAGCTAAAGTAATTGTTTATCACACAAGATCTATTGTTCCAACTAGTAGGACATCCTTTTCAAAGTTTTAGTAAATTTGATTCATAAGGCCCAAGGAGTTGATTGTTCTAAATGATGTTATATGTCATAAATAAATGTTTTTCACTGCTCACGCCATTGACACCAATATTGTTAACTTTAGGTTTAGTTGTAAATTGACATGGCAGCAAAAAGCAGGGTGCATACCTGTATGCCTGATCAAAGATAGAAAGGAAGCCAGGAACTTTAAAATGCTGAGAGCAGTATTCCTTTTAGTCAACAAAATCTAAGTCCAGTTAAGACTATTAATTATGACAGGTATAAATTATGGCACGCTTTAATCAAAATGCAGCTATTCATTGGTCTTAAATTCACCAGACCTCCAACCATTTCTGTTTAAAGGTTATTGCTCTAACAGAAACTTGGGCTTTGTTGCCTTGTGAGGTAATCCTGAGGTCTTTGGCAAGTTTTTACTCATCGCTGGCAAGAAGTGAGATTAATTTGCTCATAGCGGAAAGCCTTTTGCATTATTACGTGCAAAATTGTGTGCATGTGCGTTTAGTATGGGATTGACTGTTTGGCAAGCACAATTTGGACTCTGAACAAACTTTTGTGTGGAAGTATTTATTTTAACGATATTTACAATTCTTTTTGAGTTAAAAGTTAGATTTTGGATCTTCAAACATCTTTAAACATGTAACAACAATTAGATTCGGCTGAGCAGTTTGTGCAGAATGTTTTGTGCTACGTTTTATATTCCTGACGCGGGAATATGGTGCCTTCAGCAAACCCACATCACCACTATTTAGGCCTTTGAACGTGACTGCTTTTTTTTTGTGTTTGTTTTCACTCTTTTCAAGACCCAGTGTCAGCAGGAGCTTGACCAGGTCCTCGAGAGGATATCCAAGATGCCCTTCAGAGATAACCGAGGTCCCCTGGAAGACCTCTACGCGTTGCACATCCCCAACTGTGACAAGAGGGGGCAGTATAACCTCAAACAGGTGACTTCAGGCATGGAAACAGGAACAAGTGTTAGCATTTGTCAGATTTGAAGTGCATTAAAAAATTATATATACAGTTAAAATTAAAATCACAAATGTCTATTTTCAGTGCAAGATGTCTCTCCACGGTCAGAGGGGCGAGTGCTGGTGCGTGGACCCTCACACCGGCCGCCGCATCCCATCAGCCCCAACCGTGAGAGGTGACCCCAACTGCAGCCAGTACCTCACAGAGCTGGACCTGGTGCTGCCTGACTCGGCCCAGATTTAACACAAAACTAAAAAAAAAAAAAAAGAATAAGAAAACAAACTGTAATGTGATCGGGAACAAAAACATCGGAGTACGCTATAAGCTATTTCTTTCTGTGTGTTTGTGTCTCTAGTACAGCTGATGCAAAATATTTAACTCCGGACTAAAGCTTAGACTCTTTTAACACTTAGGTTTTCAGGTGGAGTGTCTGTAACTGCTTTACTAATGGTGACTAAGTCGGAGCGCTTTGTTATCAGTGTTTTGTACCGTTGTATGGGGGGGAAAAAAAAAAGAGAGAAACGCATCAGTGTGTTGGGTGTTTTTAGGTGTTTTCATGCTCCAGCTTGCAGTCTACCGTTGCACCTCATGCTAGCCTGTCAGTTTCGACTAGTAGTTAATGTTCAGCAGGACGTGATAAACAGATAACGCAATAAAACGAAAATATGTTCAGCCTGTACATGTGTTTTTGTCTAAATGGCTATGTTAACCTCCAGTTGTCAGGCACTGCGCTCTACTGGTGGTCCTGCCACACTACAACCATGACCTCTGTGTTTTGCCTCTAACTTGAGATAAGAAGCCACCCGCATGGAGTTTATCATTGTTTCGCATCATTGCTGTCACCAAGCACAACAGCTGACTCAACATTTTAAGTGCAGATTACACGATTTGAACAGAAAGTGGTGACAGGTACTATTGTGAGTACAGGAACTTTATTTAAATAGTGACTTTACAATAATAATAATAAAAAAGAGTACATCAATTATAGGCGTGATAAATATTCCACCATAAAGTTCACATTCATCTGTTTTTACTAAGATTCTTAAGTGTTATGTCTGTATGAGCTTGATTTGACAAGAGAGGTGTTTAATAGCAGGCTGATGTGCCGCCGTCAATCTAAAATGATACTTGATAAGAAAATAAAGAGCAACATCTGAACCACAGAACACAATGATGTCCTTTTTCTATAAACATTTAGCAGCACATGACTGAAAGGTCACACAGCTTTGCCAGGAAATCACAACCACATGTCTTTTATTTTAATTTCACTAAGGCATTTCTCGTTTGGCAGCTCAATGGGTCCACATGCAAATCAAGATTCAAAGTGGCATGGGATGGAAGGCACTTGATTTACATAAAAGCTCAGCAACATTGCTCTTTGTGGGATAAAGGACCCAATGAACCCTGTGAAATTTGCATGTGCAGTGGCAACGAGGACCCTTGACAAGGAAAAATAAACAGCGTGGGGCCTTTGCATACAATTTGTGTGCACCTTGTGAGGGGGGATGTGCACAACATGTCAGTAATTTAAAAGGATCTCCAACTACTTGTGCACATTGGCCTTAATATGTTATTTCTCAAGTAAAAGTTGTTGTTTGTGATATGAAAACTCCTACCTTTAATACATTTTACACCTAAAGACGCCACCATTATTTTACCGGAACAATGCATTCTGTGTTGATGACGTATATCGGTTGTAGCAGAGACTGAAACACGAGTTCAGGCTAAATGTTATAATGTGACAATAAAGTTATATATTGTATTAGTCCTTATGCACAATGTACGGACTGAAACAATCAAACGTGATCAACTTATGATTAATTTATTAGCTATGAAATAACACCATACATATAAGCTCTGGAGCTAATGCCTATAGGCTATATATTAGGTCTGGAGCTAACACTAAACTGAGTCATTTCTCCATTCTCCTCTGTGTCATCAGACTATGGTTCAAATTAAAGGGCTGAATGTCAGAGGATTTTTACAGTCACATTTTAATAACTGAAGTGATTGATTATTAAATAAAGTATATTATTCCAACTAGTCTGAGATCCTTTTAAGGCTTGGCTGGCCAGCTTTTTAAAGCTGAAAACTCCACTCTCATGAGCATGCACACTTTCTATATTTATAATTGTCTGGACTTGAAAAATAACTTTTAGAAGCAGTCAAGTGTCTAACTTTATCAGTGATTTATGACTGAGGTTTTATCCACTTTGCTTACCTCTATAGTTGTCTGAATGCGGTACAAGAATGCTAATGACCACGCACAGGGAAGCGAAACAAACAAAGTAAACAAAAAACAAAAAGGTAAGTAAGTTACTAAAGTTCAGCCTACTTGATTTGTGAAAGTCATATTTTACAAGAAGTAACACAAATCTTTACTGAAAGTGGCGGGAAAATGAGCCGTGGCTAATGCTAACAGCACAGTGAGGATACTTGATGAGTGCACAACTGTTCGAGATAAATTTGTTCAAGTTTGACCGTCTGATCCGAAGCTAACAAAAATTAGATTTGTTTTATTAATTAAAAAAATTAACATTACAAAATACATGTTATTTCACAAGCTTAAGAACAGCTAACAAGCAGATTTTGGCTAGCTGTTGTGTTTCAATTTTTGTTCTGACCTAACACAAAAAGCAAGAGAAAGACTAAAAAGAAAATGTTTTTAATTGTTCCAATAAAGCTTTTTTATAGTTCTTTAGACCTGTTTGAAATCCTATATAAATGGTTATGACTGATATAGCTGATAAGTGAATAACTTCATTAGCGAAATTACTGATGATTTGAAATTATGGTTAGCTTATATTTTCTGTCCTCCTGAGTATCTACCAATCTGGCAACCACATAAAACTAGTATTGTCTCACAATAAAATGTACGGAAGAACGCTTCATTGAATTTAACTCAAAGTAGAGAAGCTGTAATTCAAGAAACGTTACTTTCAACCATTTTGAGAGATTAGCACGATTCCATAGCTAACAAATTGTTCTAAACGTTTGTTTTAAAGAAACTGATTGGACTTCGGAAGTCAAGGTTTAAACATTTTTTCCAGAATTACCCAATTATTCTACACATATAGGTTTCTCTACATTGGAAGGTGAAATTCTGTATTTCACATAAATCTCGCATTTAACATTGAAAAGTCCTAATTAAGACAAATCAGGTTTAGAATATGTCCATTTTTGGCCATGGTGATTGTTAAACTTTAGATCAAACATTTGAAAAATATCATTACCAAGTGACATTTAAAATATGTCTTGTCTAAGATACATAAAGTAAAATGGTTGCTAAACTCATATTGACATACACAGCAGAAGCCACAGTCGAGATCTACATACACAGACATTCACTTAAACAACCTTTTCAGTTTGGCTCCACTTCACAATGAACAATACAATCCATCACATTCTCCTACATCAAAAAGTGTTTGTGCTGTATTCTCCTGAATGTCAGTTATAAAGAGTTCTAGCTTGTTTGGCAGGTTTTGAGGAGAAACATGGGCTCAGTGGTTCACCCTCATTTATTGCTGCTGTTGCTGCTGTCCAGATCTTTGCACTGCAGTTCTCCACCGGCGTAGTTGATGCTGGGGATTTTATCGCCGAAGCGGTCCACGCACCAGCAAATACCTCGTTTCCGACCACGAGACGGCTTACACTGCAGGTTAGAAGAAGTCCGAATGTTATGATTACAAAATAACCCTCGTTTGTAAATGACTCAATAAATAACATCAGGTTAAAAGAATGCATCCAAACCTGTTTGCGCTTGAAGAAGCCCTTCTTGTCACAGTTGGGTACGTACAAAGAAACAGCTAAGACCCGAGAAGTGTCCCTCATGCTGTGAATGAGACCATCTAATTTTCTCCTGCAGGGTCCCTACACACAAACACAAGTGTATATTATTATGTTGGAAAATTCAATATCAAAATGTCTTGATATCTTTTTTTGGTTAAAACTAAAGCAGTCTAACCAATTTTAGAACCCAAATTGTGGCAACTTCTAATATGCTTTGTAATCTCCAAATCACTTACAATTTCTGGTTCCAGTTTATCCAGGGCTGGTGCTGGATCTCGGTTACTGATGGGTCCCGGTCTGGCTAAATGCTTCATGCGGTCCTTGGCTAGTTTCATGGCCTGGGCCTTGCGACTGCTGATGTGATGTCCATATAAAGGTACCTTGGTTTGTGTTGGCTCTGTGATTTTGTGTTTGGGGAAAAAGACAAAGACACAGGGGAAAAAAAGGGTCTCTCATCAATTTCAATTTTGGTCTTTGTCAATTGTTATTCATGAATTGAAACATTCCTAATAATTTCTTTCAACTTTTGCTTTAATTAAAGCTGGGCTGGCACCAAGATATCACCATAAAAGACACAAATATAATGCTAAAGCTGAGCTTTATCCGCGTTCAACAAACAATCTACAAAATAACAATAGCAGAAACTTGTGACCCAAAATACTTTTGGCAAAGATATTCAAACAAATTAAACTGGGGAGTGGTGGTGCAGAGGTTAGAGAAGGTAGGCCTATGATTAGAAGGTCGACGGTTTGACTCCGAGCGGGAAAGGTGAAGTACCCCACCTGCCCCACCTGGTTGCGTCAAGAAGGACAACCAGCGTAAAAACTATTGCCAAGTCTTCCTACAAATTAGTTCAATGTGACGACCCCTGAGGAAGGGAGCAGCCAAAAGAAGAAATTAATAAATAAATTTCAAAAAGCTAAGAGGCTAGTTAAATAAGGAAATAGTGATAACTCTGTCTCACCTGTTTCTAATGATCTATACCTACACTTTTTGTTTCTTGAAACCATTATGGCAAAATGTCATAACAGTCATCCATCCAGCCATCCATTATCTTTTACCCGCTTCTTCCATTTTGGGTTACGGGGTCGCTGGTCCAGCCATAACAGTTATGTTTAAACTTAATTTAACTCCTGGAAATGATGTAAAGACCCAACCAGTTGTTTTATGATCCATAGTAGGGCACCAATCATAACTTTGGGAACCACTGTCCTGGTTGAATCTTGATTTAAAAAGGAATTTGTTTGAGCCAATTAAACAATATATGATGCTTGGCGATGACATTGTGATATGTAGGGAAGGTAGGGAGCAGGTGGAAGACAGCCTGGAGAGAAAGAGCTATGCTCTGGAGAGAAGACGTCTGTGACTGGTAAGAATGAAGACATAATATGTGAGATGGAGACAGACAGGGCTTAATTTGAGACAGATTCTGCTGGAACAGGATCTGGGAACTCTGTTTTTGGACAAGGTGTGTTCCGGTAACTGTTTGCTTGGATCCAGTAACTCTCAGGCTTACTAATAATAAAGTTATGAACAAATATGACTGCTTTGAATGAATAAAGCTTATATTGGATATGTAAACTGAAAATAATTACATAAACACTAATTTTAAACACAACAGCCACTTAAAAGCTTCTTAATATCACATACGCCCCCTCCCTCTCAGTTTTCAAGTCCCGTTTAAAAACACACTACTATTCAGTGGCTTTCAACAACAGATGATCTGTTTTGAGATCCTGTATGCTCCACACTGGTTTGTCGTCATTATCTGCATCGTTTTTATGTCTATATTCTGATTTACCTCATTTTGTATATTGCTTTGTCTGTTACCTGTTGTTCTATCTGTACAGCACTTTGGTTAGCCTTGTCGCTGTTTTAAGTGCTTTATAAATAAAGTGATATGGTATGGTATACGATCATCTGCCCCTTGAAGCAAGCATTTCTGCCTCTACCCTTAAAAAAATTTCCACCCCTAAAAGAGTGGTGGGGCTGAGTGTCAAGCTACCAAGGCAGTCGTACGCAGGCAGGAGCCCACAGGCAGCGGCCATGATAGAGGAGGTGCCTGGAGGTTTCACATGTCGGATAGTGAATTCAGCAGAGGAGAGCCAGGTGCGGAATTGTCAAGTAATGGGGGGGTAGGATGCGGAGTGTTTACAAATTAAGGTAAATGTAGATGTTTAACAACCTGTTAAAATACACCAAAATGCAGGAAATCACATCTACTTTTGTCAAAATTTTATGGGGGAGGACCCCCAGACCCCACCCCCCACGCCAAGCTCCTCCCCCACAGCCAGTCTGCCCACTATTTGCATTCTGGCATTGATCGGTTTACAAATTAAGTCGTGGAGGCAGGGGATCCACTGTGTCAAGCCCTGAAGGGAGCAACCAAAAGGAAAAGACTAATATCAGAGGGGAACTGTATTTTCACCAAAAGAGCTGGTTATATGTGGAGAAATGCTACAAATTACAAACACGGCTCAATTAAAACACCCCATTTCTTGCACCCAACTAGAGGTCTAGAGGTCATTTGCAAGCTGGACTTCAAAGCATTTTTCAGTTGCCTTTATGGGACAAGTCAAAGTTAAGAGCAGTGCCACCTGGAACTGGAACTACTGAAGTGGTTGAAGTTCAAAACTAAAGGACACAAAGCAGCAGAGCCCTCTGTGGAAACAGAGGGGTGATGATTTCACTGTGCTGGTTAGATGCTTATTTAGCACACTTAGTGGCGACGGGCCAGTTCCAGACCGAACATGTTGACAGGAGGGACAGCGCAGCCTGCAGTTATGGCCAGATAGGTTGGTATATGCAGACAAGGGGTTTTCAAACTTATATAGCAAGTGACCCAAATTAGATATTTAGTCTCACCCTGGCACCCACGCCTGTGCAAACATGCTATTACTCTTGTCATGTGGCAAGCCACCAGAAGCAGCCACAACCCATTTTGAGTCTCAACCCCCCTTGAAACCCTTGCTAACGTGTGTCTTTCCTCTGTCCCGTGGAAAAGGTTTTGGGGTCACACTCTCCCTTTCTGTCCCCGCCCTTTATTCATTTATCTGCACAGCTGCAGATTTCTGTCCCTGATGAACGTTAAAAACTGATGTTTCGTTTCAGGTCTGGCTTTCAACAGGCTTATCCTGGTCCTAAGCCACAGCTGGCCCACTTGCGCTGCTGCGTCATGTACTCACTTCCGTTTTGTTCTGGCAGATTTGTCGTGTAAACTACAGTTTCAGCTGATTGCTGAGCTACTGAGCTAACTGAGTGATGAAACGAGGTCACAGCCTTGTTGCGAACAACGTTATCTATCCCTTGGCTTGACGACAGGACTTTCAGGAAACAAGAGTCCCATCAAGTCTTCACTTGCTAATCCTCGAGCTTTCTTTTTAGACTGATCTTTGCAGGATTTAATTGCCAAAAGCTCTTCCCCTTGCAAATCTTTAAACATTTCTGGCATTTCTTCAGTGCAACATCGGGAAAATTAAAACAAACCTTTCCAGCAGATAATAGAGCTACACATGTTTGCAGATACATTTTCCCATTTTAGTGACAATTGAAATGCGAGTGACAACTGGAGGGCTGTGACGCATGTATGCACATGTCCTTGGTGTGTTAGCAGGTTTAGTGTGCACAGTCCTCGAGTGTATGTTGGAATCTCTGCATGGACAGAACACAGGAGCTGATGAAAAACTTGGCTGACAGATATAAGGAGGGGGGGGTCGGTAGCCCACGCTCAGCTTGCATTCTGCTGAATCACTGCACAGCCTGGGCCTGCCTGCAGCGATGCTGGGAAGGAAGGAAGGAGGGAAGAGAGGACAGCGAAAAGAAAAAGTCTGCATCGAACCTGCCGGAGAACCAGTCAAACAGCTTGACAAGGGTCAACGTGGGAGCAGAGAAGAATTAAAAGATAGAAGCGATGAAGACGGATCATAGCCAGAAAGAGAAATGAGAGAAGACGTTGAGTGGTGGGAGGAAAAAAAAAAAAAGGACAAAAATGTGGGTCAGGTGTGGGAAAAGGCACAGCCGATAGACAAGTCGGAGAAAATCCATCCATCATCTTTACACGCTCCTTCCTTTTTGGGTGCTGGGTCACATAGAGACAAACAAGACAAACAACCATTCACTCTCTCACTCACACCTAGGGACAATTTAGAGTTACCAATCAGCCTAACATGTATGTTGTTGGTCTGTGGGAGGAAACCGGAGTACCCGAAGGAAAACCCACGCATGCACGGAGAGAACATGCAAACTCCAACCAGAAAGGTCCCAGGTTGGGATTTGATCCTGTGACCTTCAAAATGAGAGGCACCAGCTCTACCAACTGCACCACCGTGCCGCCTCAGTTGGAGAAAAGAACAAAATCTGGTTTGTCTCCTTAAGGACAATGAGGGCAACTGCAGAAACAATGATTTGGTCCCAGAGAGCCCCACCTGTAATCATCTCACTTGTCATCTGCACGGTCTCCCCCCACCCCCCAACCCCCCAGGTGAGGGGATGCTCAGTTTTAATTCTCAGAACAGAAGCAAAAGAAGAGCCTTTCAAACTGAGGCTTGATCGACTCTGATTGTTGACAAAGTTCACAGGGTCAAAGTCTTCATAATGACAGGTGTCAGCGCATTGTAAAAAAAACACCCAGAGGGGACCCCCCCCCCCCCCCCCACACACACACACACACACAAAAAAAGGAGGTTTAAATGGATGGCTGCCTAAAACCAAACAACTATAACAGATCATTTGCTTCTCTTTCACCAGGAATATCCCTGTAAGATCAAGCAGGCATGTTTGAGGACTGTGGGAGGAAACCCAAGCTAACATGAGGAGAACATGCAGCCTCCACACGGAAAGAGCCCAGGATCTGACCAGGACTTGGACCAGGACTGGACTATTGGAGTTAAAGAATCTCTGACATAAACCAAACGTTGCAGATCATATTAATAACTCACAACATCTGCTGCCTTCAAAGTTTGAAACTTCCTTTAGAGCTGGGCTATTCAACTGGGGGGGGGGGGGGGGGGGTCATTTACTGAAACAAGAGCTCAGGGGCTGGACATCTAGCAGTTATAGTTATTATATTAATTTTGTTTTATGATTTAAAATCTAGTTTTATTTAAAAATGAACCCATTGGTGTGCCTGATTTGGCCCCCGGGCCCCCAGTTGAACAGCCCTGCTTTAGAGCGTGTGTTTTAAGGACAACCCTCAGCAACTACCAAATAACTTTTAAGTCCATGTGTGCAACATTTGCTCAGTCATAACCATTTTGTCCACGTTACCTGTGGTGGTCATCTTGAATCGGTCAGACTTCAAAGCATTGTTTGTTTATTTGTACACCCAATTTTTTTGAATTTTTTTTATGTGTTTAAAGGTTTGAGAGATATTTTACTAACAGACTGATTAAGCATACAGAGAAAGACAAGCCAGGGGGCTTTTTGAAAACAGTGGGGGGACTAAAAAAGTAATTTCGGTTGGGGTCATCCCCCCCTCAGCCCCCCACCTGAGGCCGTCTCTGTAAAATGACAGTTTCAGGCATGTGCGCGCGTACCTTTGGACGGGTGCAGCAGCTTGTACAGCTTCTCGCTCCTGCACGCGCCGCGGCCGTGCAGGAGCGCGTGCAGCGGCTTCTCCTCGCCGTCCTTGGGCAGGCAGCGGAGTCCGCGCGCGCACGGCCCCGTGTACACGCCGCACTGCTGGCCCTCCTCGAGCGCGCACGTCAGGCAGCAGCCGCAGCCGGGCTCCTTGACGGGCTGGCAGCCCGGCGGCACGGGGGGGCACATGGAGCGGGCCTTCGGGTCGCACGGCTCGCACGGCACGAAGGAGGCGCCGCAGCGTCCGGGGCCCCCCAGCAGGAGGAGGAGGAGGAGGAGGGGGGCGCTCAGCTGCAGCACCGCGCGCTCCATCACCTCTTGGGAAAAAAAAAAACCCCACGAAGCTTCCGAGACTAAAACAACTCTGTCTCTGGAAAAGGTTCAAACATCCGCAGGAGAATCTCTCAGAGGAATCTCAAAAAGTACAATCCAGGAGTGCTCCTGCTCCGCGAGGAGATGCAGAGACAAGACGAGGAGGACTCCTCTGCTCCGCGCAGACTGAGAGCTGAGGGCTTCATCTGGGGCTTTTAAGAAAAAGAAACTGCCAGAGGCCAAGCCCGGGACGATGGGCACGTCAAACACCGTTGGAGGGAGGGGAGGGGGGCACTTGTCAAACTGGCTGAGATGCTGCTGCTCTGTGAGGGCGGGGGGCAGGGGGAGGGGATGCTGGTGGCACGTGTCCAGATCTGTCAGATGCTGCTGGAGGAGGGTTCTCTGACACACATCATCTGTTACACTTTAACTAAAAGTCTAATGTGGGAGCGTTGTGTAAAAATGAAATAAAGACACTATTCATTGATTCTTAAATCTCATGAATTAATATTTTATTCACATGGAGCTGAGTAAACGCATCAAGTGTTTAAAATAAGAACATGTACAATGTTTCCAGGTGAGCAGATCGATGTTTTCCACTGGAGGCATTTCCTCTACCTTTAAAGAGATCTCTGACGACTTGTACATATTGGCCTTATGTTGTTATTTAAAGTTGTTTGTGACACATGAAAACTCCTAATTACTTTTAAAAAGTATAAATATTTAGTCCATTTTTCACCTAAGGACATCACCATTAATTTACCGGTGCAAAGCATTCTGGGGCTATGGCGTACATCGATTGTTGTGGAGACTAAAACACAAGGCTGAAAAGTTGTAATGTGACAATAAAGGTATATTTTGGATTAATACTTATGTGGGTAGAAATGAGCAAACGTGATCAACTTGTGATGTTTGATTTATTAGATCTGGAGCTAACTGGAGCTAACATTTTGGCAGCTCTTCGGTGGGGGGTGGGGGGGGGGGGGGGGGGGGTACCGCAGAGGTCTATTCTCGGTCCTCTTCTCTTTATACCTGCTGCCACTAGGTGCTATTTTTCATAAACTCGGCATAACTTTTCATTTTTATGCAGATGACTGTCAAATTTACTTCCTGCTGAAGCACACTGGTGCATGTTCTATCCAACCTCTTCTTGACTGCCTGGCTGACATCAGGGACTGGATGGTTTTAATTTTCTTAAATTTTAATGAAAAGAAGACAGAAGTCATGTTGTTTCAATTCAATTCAGGTTATTTATATAGCGCCATATCATAGCAACGTTTTCTCAGGGTACTTTACAGGAATATTCACATACAGTACATAGAAAAGATAATTAATAAAGTTCTCTATCTAAGGAAGCCAGCAGACACATTGAATTCAATTCAATTCAATTCAATTCAAAAATACGTTGTTAATCCCAAAGGGAAATTATTTTGTTGTTATAACTCGTTATCCTCATTTCATTAAGAGATGTTATAGATACTGATGGCTGTAGACAGGAAGGATCTCTTGTAAAGGTCCATCCCACAGTGGATCCTAAGAAACTGGCTGCAGATGCCATCCGATCCGTCCACCCAGACTCGGCTGACCTCTCAGTTCCGCTGGACTGTAGGACCGCTTGAATGCTGGGCTGAACTCCTCCCAATCTTCACTACATTGCAGTCTCCCATCCTGAGCAAGCACAATGGCAACAGTGGAAAGGAAAAACTCCCTTTTAAAAGGAAGAAACCTCCAGCAGAATCAGGCTCAGGACAAGCGGCCATCTGCTTTGACTGGATGAACCTTCCACCTAAAGGTACGATCAAGACCTTTCCTCTCGATCCCCGTTAGAGAAACAAGTTGTCACTAATCTGGGAGTGATAATGGACCCTTCCATGAAACTAAACAGTCAAGTAAAGACGACTGCTGAATCCTGTTTTGTTTTTTCAGTTGAGGCGACTTGTCTAAATTAAAGACCATAATGTCCAAAAGTTATCTTGAGAAAGTAATACATGATTTCATAACATCGACTACTGCAATGCGCTTCTTTTTGGAATCAGTCAGACCTCTCTTGCACGTTTACAACTGGTTCAAAATGCTGCAGCCCAATTTTTAACTGGTACAGGCATAAGAGAGCACATTACTCCAGTTCTGGCCTCCCTTCACTGGCTCCCGGTTCACTTCTGAATTCATTTTAAAATCCTTCTGTATGTTTTTAAATCTCTGAACAGTTCTGCTCCTTCCTATCTCACTGATCTACTGCAGCCATATGTCCCACAGCAATCTCTGAGGTCAGCAGACCAGATGCTTTTATTGGTTCCAGGCACTCGTTTTAAGCTCAGATGGGACAGGGCCTTCTCTGTTGCAGGTCCAAAACTATGGAACGAGTTACCACTACATGTCAGGCAGGTTCCCTGGATCTATGTAATTTGTCCTGTGTCCTTTGCTTGTTTGTTGTTGCAGTATAGCACTTTGGCTGGCCTTGTTGCTGTTTTTAAGTGCTTTATAAATAGTGATATGGTATGGTAACATGTATATTAGCTCTGGATCAACTGCTATTAGCTCTGGAGCTAATATGCATATTAGCTCCAGCTAACACTATTGATGTAAGATTCTAGCTGTTCAGCAGTCCTGGGTCTTTGCTGATACCTTTTTACTGGATGAGAGCACATGTTCTAAAACCTGTGTATACTTTTCTACATTGATGGTGCCTTTCCGGAAGTTGCCCATGCCAACGGCACTAATAAACCCCCATACTGTCAGAGGCAGGGTTTTGAACTGTTCTCTGAAAAAAAAGGCAGAATTATCCTTTTTTTTTTTTTTTTTTAGCACGGAGGACATGATGTCTGTGGTTTCCAAAAAAGAATATCATATTTTAACTTGGCTGACCACAGAGCCATTTTCCATTTTGCCTCAGTGCATTTTGAATTAACTTTGACCCAGAACAGACAGCAGTGTTTCTGGATAGAGACCACAAACGAGTTATTGTTTGCATGCTAAGATTTAGCCTGCATTTGTGGAAAGCAAGCTGAGCTGTGTTTACAGACAATGATTTCTGAACATAGTGATGTACAGAACAGAATAAGACCTATGTATTAAGCACTGGCCCCTGAGGGCCCAAAGGTCACAACCATTGAAAACTGACTTTCAGTCTTGTTCTTTGAGCTCGGAGATTTGTTTCCAGATTCTTTAAATGCTTTATTATTATGAGCTGTACATGCTGGGATATTTAAGGCCATTTTACCATTAACAAGCATTATTTTGAAATTGCTTTGCAATTTTTTAACATTTTTTCCACAGACTAGTGAACCTCTGCCCACCTTTACTTCAAATAAATTCAGCCTCTCTAAAATATTATTTTATGCCCAGTACTCTTACTGAGTCATTCCCAGTACAGTAGTCCCTCTCTACTTTGCGGTTCGACTTTCGCGGACTCACTGTTCTGCGGATTTTCAACATAAGATTGTGCACGACACACAGTTGGCTGATTGAGGGCGGCTGTGGCTGAGTGGTTAGAGCAGCCATCCTCCAATGCAAGAGTTGGGGGTTTGAATCCACCAGCAGTCACATACCAAAGTGTCCCTGGGCAAGACACTGAACCCCTCGTTGCCTCCGATGTGTGTCCCATCAGTGTATGAATGTGATAAAGCTCTGATTAGTTTCTTTATAATGATTTGTTCAATTAGCTTTGTAGAGATCCAGTAGAGTGCTGTATGAATGGGTAAATGAGGACACAGATTGTAAAGCGCTTTGAGTATGTTGATAAGATAGAAAGGCGCTACATAAAGGCAGTGCATTTACCATTTACCATTGATGGAAGGCGACCAACCACAACTCCACTCCTTCTCTCCCCGTCCGCATGCCTCCGGGCACGCGTCGGGGGGGGGGGGGGGGGGGGCTTCTCCAATCAAGCCCATGACGCTTGCAGTGCGCAACTGCCGGTGGAGACATTCCTCTGTGCTGCTTGTGTCCTCGTGCTTGCCTCCCTGGGACTGGCGAAGGAGACCCGCTCCAGCAGGGAAAGGAGGGGCAGAGGCCACCGTGTGGGCGACATGTCGGCCCTCTGTGCATGCCCCCGCCACTGTCGGACCTCACTGCCCAACGCCTGGAGCTCTTACCCAGTGCAATGCTCACTATGTCAAGAAGGACTATGTACATAGACGGATATATCTATAAATACTAAAATAAATATAACATCCCTACTTCGCAGATTTTCACCTATCGCAAAGGTGTCTGGAACGTAACACCCATGATAAGTGAGGGATTACTGTAACTAAATTTTATGCACAACGCAACTCCAAAATGTCTCTTCTTTGTAACACTGACTCTTACAGCCCTTTGTTTCTCCTATCAAACAATTTTAAATGGTAAATGGACTGTACTTATATAGTGCCTTTCTATCTTATTTCTAGATACTCAAAGCACTTTACACTACAATCTGTGCCCTCATTTACCCATTCATACAGCACTCTACATCTCTACAAAGCTAACTGAACAAATCATTCTAATGAGACTAATCAGTGCTTTATCACATTCATACACTTATGGGACACACATCAGAGGCTATGAGGGGTTCAGTGTCTTTGCCCAGGGACACTTTGGCATGTGACTGCTGGTGAATTCGAACCCCCAACTCTTGTGTTGGAGAACGACTGCTCTAACCATTCAGCCACAGCCACCCCTTTAAGATGTGTTACACCATAACATTCAACATTTTCCCATTTTTTGAACCTCATTATATCATTTGTTTTGATATGTTTAATATGTTCATTGTGTGATATGTCTCATGACCTTTACAACATTTTTTTTTTAAATTAATTGATTGGAACTGTTCATGAAATAGAGTCTCCTTTAACGTGTTCCACAACAAGATTGACCCTATAACGCACAAAAGACACCTGTTGCTTTTACTCAGCTTGATTTGCCTTGATTTCATTATTCTCTGATCGTTTCTTGTATTTGTGTCTGTTTGGTGCACATAAATATGGTGCACATAAATCTTCAGTCTGATGATTTCTACTCAGACACA